TTATCTTGAAAATTTCGACCTGTACCGTGCACATAATGTTTATATGGACACACAGAGTGCTTTACGTGAACACCTGCCTTGGCGGCCTTGTTTCATGGTGGTCTTTTTCATCCTTTTGTACATGGCTGAGCCGGTCCATGTACAAGCACTTTGCTGAAGAACTCGAGCTGTCTAATCTCTTGCCTTAGTAGCCCCGTTGCGGAATGACAGGCAGCATGAGATCAATCCCAATGCAAACCCCGACAAGGAAAAAGCAATCACTGGTTTAAAGTCAATAGAAGGGGCGACTACCCGAACATCATGTGAAATCAATCTTCCGGTATACCGGAAGGTGACCACCCTTATGATGTCATGAAAGATTGCATTATTTAAAATGCAATCCCCATCAACTTATGACCCATTCCAGTGCATTCCTTAAACCTCTTAAAGCCCGTGCAACCACCACAACACACCTAGAGACGTATTTGGTAGTCCAAAATATCCAGCCAATAAATCAGGATCCCTCAGTATGTCAGATAATGTGACAAAGGATGTAGAAATTCCCAAATTCAATTCGAGCCCAATATTGCCCCGGCAAGTTGAGTGGTGGACCTCAACTATAAGTCGCGTGCAACAGGCCACCAGTATTATATGGTACTCTGGTTAGACCCCATATCAAATCATTCCAAGGAAAGGCCAAGGATACATTTAATCATCACCAGTTTATAGTCCCGGCAGACTAGAGGTATTGATAGCACCTCTTTTTTCCCGGGATATTGCAACACCAAGGTGGAGATTTCACCAAGGTAACATGCCACCGAGGGGATACGTAGACAGACGGACATAGCTTCGAATCGAATCTGAAAGGGATTCTGAGCAGATGTTTGTACTTTAAGGTGGAACAGGACCAATATTTTTAGCCGTTATAACCAAACTGACGAACGCACCACTGTGGTGTAGGGTATAAATACCAAGACTTCCGCATTGCTCATTTAAAAAAAAGTGTCCTTTCTACTTTGTACTCCTATGTATTTTCAATATCATAAGCGTCTTAAAAATACAATTTGCTTAATTTTCTTTTAACAACTTTTTAAAATTCCTTAATTAACTTAAAACACTACTTTTTCGAAAATCCATTACACACTTATCAGATGCAAGGCATGTATAACGCTCTTAATAAAATCTACAAAAAAAATCATTCAACAAAATATCAAAATACCTTTACATACTTAAACAGATCATTTTTAAAGCAAATTTATTTTAAAATCTTCACCCCACTCTGACAGGCTGTCCGAGTACATGAGCAGGCGATGCGTGAACAGGCGAAAAAAATGAATGTTGCATCGCTGCGCAACAGCGAGGCGGATAAGGGTAAATCGGTGGAAATAAAACTGGCTAAAGTGGCACTTGTTACAATATCATTATGGTTTCTGGCCTGGACACCATATACGATTTATAAACTATGCCGGCATATTTGAATCGATGGCCTTGTCACCGCTCAGCACCATCTGTGGTTCGGTGTTTGCCAAAGCCAATTCAGTCTGCAATCCCATTGTCTACGGTTTGAGGTGAGTTGTGCTCAAAATAATATTTATACCTTTTTTCTTTATGGTCTTTATAATATCTTTTTTAGTCATCCCAAATACAAACAAGTCTTAAAAGAGAAAATACCCTGTTTGGCTTGTGGCAAAGATGATACAGCTTCTGATTCCCGAACACAAGCTACCACTGAAATTAGTGAATCGGCAGCGTAGATTTTTGAAAATTCTGATATGAAATTTATTTTGTTTTTTTTTCCTTTTTGTGTTTTCTTAAAATTAATGACATTAATGACAATTTTGGCGCGTTAAAAGGACTTAATGATTTTGGTATATATATTTATTTAAAGTTAATTTTAAGTAGTTTTTAGTTTGTAAAAAAACAAGAGAAACAATTTCCTATGGATTCAACGAAGTGATCTTAAGCTGTGTTTTATGGTAAAACTCTTTAAGCGTTTAAGAATGGTAAAGAAAAAAAATCACAAAAAATGTACAAAAAAAATAAATTTTTTTAAATGTTAACTATACTTATAAAAATCTAGCAAAAAAACAACAAAAAGTTGCAAATTATAAAAAATCCAAAAAAAAAAAGAAAAGAAATAATAAAGAACACAAAGCAATTGATACAAAATCAAATTTTAGTTAAAGATTTTATTGGTAGCAACTAATTTATAAACGTTTTAGGATTTTAAATTTTATATCAAAGTCTAGTTGTCCGGTGGGTCGAACCCTATGTGCAGATTAACTGAAAAATAGTGCTTTTCCGATATTTTCCGACGCTGAATCTCATTTATAAGATCCTGTAAGATCATTACTGTTGCATCCGATGTAAAAAGCCATGATATCGGACGAGAACCTGTATCGCAGTAAAAAAGTTGGATGTTTACTAGATTCACTCCAGAAAACTTTCTTTCAAACGTCCAAAATTCTTGGATTAAAGCAATATGTAACTTACCTTAGTTTACTTAAGCAATCAAACTTGAAGCTTTACTTGAAGCTTTATTTGAATGACCTTAATCAAGGCCCTCCAAGTTGATGCGAGTTTGTGATCACATCCTCTCTCTTAGGCTCCTGGTTTCCTGTAGTGGATAATGATGCTGTGGACACAGCCTTTGTTGGTTGCGGTCTCGTTCAGTTGAAGCTTTATTTCGATGACCTTAATACGTGTTGGTGATCACTTTCTCGCTCTTAGGCTTTGACAACTCCTGGTTTCCTGTCGTGGCTAATGATACTGTGAACACTACCTTTGGTATTTCCTAGTCCTTTCCACTTCCAAGGGTTTGATTGTCTTATAATGCTCTGCACACGTTTGATATATCGCTGTTCTTATCACGGTTAATTGTAACATTCCTTTCAATGCCAATTTTAAAGAAATCCCTGAAGGCCCTCTTTTCTATAACCTCATGATCATCACACCCCCGACGAACTCGCTCTCTATGGGTTGATTTTCGATACGGAATTAAAGAATCGTACTCGGCCAAAGATTATCAACTCAAGAACAGCTGTAACCAACAAACGTTTTTTTGCACAGGAAGGAACTAACAGTTCATAATCGAACCGTTACAAAAACAACATAGCATAGAATCGTCACGGAATATTTCTTCGCAATATTTAGTATAAAATGATGGGTATTTTCTTCTTTCAGAAGTCGGTATTTGGCTGACGACGTCAGCTCTTTAATAGATGGACTGACCCCTATTTGCAGGATTTTTAGTGATCTTTTAAAGTCCTATGGGTTAACTTTGACAGTATATATTCGAAGACAGGGGTCTCTTATTCCCAGTGTTTCAACTCTTCGGATTTCAGATACTCTTTGACTTCAGAAAAGATTTAAGAAGAAGAGACAGATAAACACATCACAGTGTCCTTCAGCTTGTCTCAATGTGATCTTTTAGAGCAACTTTTGCAACTTTCCAGATAGCCTTTTTTGGTGACCGTTCATCTCCTTCACCATTGTAACAGTGTTGTTATAATTTGTGAATTCAGAGACGGAACCTTATCCTGTGTCTAAAAGCTGAAGTTTCTTGAAGACCCCTCAGCTACGGATTTTTAACGTTTTCTATATTTTTTTTTTTTTTTTGTTTTGTTCGGGTCCGCAAAGAATACTGTGAGGCGGGTATTCAGCCCTCCTTACACCAACATAGTGGTGATCGTATTATGCGTTTGTAATCATGTTTAGAACATACAAAAATATTGGTCCTACCACTAACCTCAAAGTTATACGATCGACTCAGAATGACTTTCTGAAGAACATAGTGCAATTTTCCAATCACTTATTTCGACGAAATTTAGACTAAACGTGTTCATTTGGCACAAGGGGAAAGCCTATTCTGAAATTGGTCTATTATTTCACCTAGCCCCAGCTGATTTTTGTAATTGATTCTAGACATTGTTTTAAACGTTCATAATTGACTTAAAACTATTTTTTTTTCTACAAAATTCAGCATAACTAAATCAAAACACAATACCTGGATATATGTATGTATATCTCTAGAAAGAGAGTAGATATGACAGAGATTAAAGATTTATTTTTAAAGTCAAAAATCAGAAAATATTTATCTGCCTATTCTTGGTATTCTATTCACAAAATATACAAATGGTAAAATTTAGCCAATTGTGCATAAATTTAAAATATATAACTAACTGGACTTTAATCTAGTCTATAATCTGGAGCGGAGTTTAGTCTATATTTAGCTACAGTCTAGCTAATAATCTGGATTAAAGCCTATTCTATAGAGTGGATTATATTCTACTTTATAGTCTGGTGTACAATTTAGTCTTCAGTCTGGACTATAGTATAGTATATAGTTTGAAATTTAATCTATTGCCTGGTCTATAGTGCGGACTATAGTTAGATAATAGATTAATATGGACTATAATCCAGTCTGTAGTCTGGACTATAGTCGTGTCTATAGTCTGTAAATTGGTCTACAATTTAGTCTATAGCCTGTACCAGAAGAGTCTTTAGTCTAAAATATAGCTAAAGTTTGGACTATAGTCTAGTCTATAGTCTGGGACTATAGACTAGTGAAAAGTCTTAACTACAATCCAGTCTATAGTCTATATTTTAATCTAGTCTATTGTCTGAAGCAGAGCTTAGTCTGTAGTGTGGACTGTAGATTAGTCTATTCTATAGTCTGGACTATAATATAGTCTATAGTCTGGACTATAATAAATAAAGTCCATATTAAAGAATAGTCTATGATCTAAACTATTGTATAATCTACTAATCTGGACTATTTTATATGATCTGGTCTGAACATTTGTTTAAGTCTGAACTATAGTCTCAATTCCATAGACAATTGACAAGATTTTGTCATTGGAAAAAGGACAAAGCCTTGTGAATTTTATTGATTCATTAATAAATCACTAAAATATTTCGATAATAAGACAAACATTTGTTATTATAAAATTCGTTATAATATAGTTCCAGGTTTCATTCAAATCCCAAATAAAACCGCATTATTTGAATGTAGAAAAAAAGAGAGAAAATTAATATTTCAAACATACATTTCTTTGTTACTCTAATAAAATATTTGTACAAAATCTATAATAGTTAATCATTATTAAAATCATTTTCAACATCAGTGTCATATTATAATTGTCGTCAACAGCACTATTATCATCAACGTCATCATCAGCAATATTTTCATAGTCATTATTATCATTCTGATCGCTAAGTTTATTTGCAAATAGTTTATAAATTTCCTTTAATCATAATAGGCCTGTAAATCTTCCAATATAAAGGTGCCATTATGACGTTCTTCATCATTGAAGGGAAATGCTGATCGTGGTATTAATAATTTTTGTTGTTCATGTAAATGCTCATACTGTTGTTGTTGTTGTTTTTGTTGCTGTTGTTGTTGTTGTTTTCTCTCATTACTCAATTCATTTTGTGTGAACATAGCACGTCCTTGCAACATTATAAAATCGATTAAACGTTTATTCGTGATCATTTTCATGGCATTTGGATCGGTACGTTTGCGTAAATAATTAAAACAACAGGTTCTATAAGTTAAATATTAATTATAATTAGTAATTTATCAATTTTGCTTTTAAACGAAATGTTTACCTGAAGTGTTTAGTGCCACAAGCATTGGCGCATTCATTGCCACAGGAATCACAGGGTATGGCAGAGACGCTTAAAAATTGCATTAAAAATATGCCTGAAATAGATAAATAGAAATAGATAAAATTGTGCATTTTTGTATATTTTAAAATCTAAACATAAATAGTTAATGATTGATTAGGTTCCTATATCACCTACACCACTTGAAGTGGGGAGGTATTATACGTTTGTGCTGATGTTTGCAACACACAAAAATATTAGTCCTACACCCAGCTTAAAGTATACTAATCGACTTATTACAATTTTCTGAGTCGATTAGGACATGTCCGTCCTTCGCCCGACCATGTAAACCTTATAGGTAACCGAGGTATAGGTCGCATTTAAAAAATCGATGAAATTTTGTATGTGTTATACTTTTGAAACAAATGCTCAAATGGATGTCAGAGTTGTTCGGGCAAAATACGAATTTTAGTATTTAATTTATATTGGAGATCCTAATAGTTTCCCCGATAAACGATTACATATAATTCATATGAGAGGTACCACGCCCATTAATGCTAGTCCGCCGATTATTTGTCCTAGATATTCATATTGATACAAAAATGGCTCCGAAAAAATAAAGACTCTAACTGTATATTTTCTCAGATATATTAACTAAAGATTTTATGGGAGGTGCCACGCCCACTATATAGCTAGTCCCCATATGTTTATATGTATGTCAAAGTTGTCCATCCATAAAATTTTAGAACTCTAGCTGTTGTAGTTTCTGAGATATGCTACTTTTAATACTTGTTTTGTATGTAGGCGTGGCACGATATAGAGGAAGACACTGAGAAGATTTCAGAAAAATCGGTCGAGCCGTTTAGCAGTCTATAAAGTCCAAACAAACAAACATTCATTTTTATATATATAGATAAAGATTCTCATGGAGAGTGCCAAGCCCCCTATTGCAAGACCGACCATTATTGTTTCAAATATACTCCGAACAAATTTAAAGACTGTAGCTGTTATATTTTCTAAGATTTTCTAATTTAAAATGTTCTTACTGTACCTAGGCCGCCCTTTTTGTCCCCAAATGTTCATATCGATGTCAAAGATAAATTTGAAAACTATAGATGTTGTAGTTTCTGAGATACACGACTCCTCAGTGGCTCCTAGCCTTGAAATTTCCAAATAGATAATATGTAGCCGCTTCCTTAATAATATTAAGGGAGTTCCATACCTCCATTTCTCAAAAAGGGACTTAACTTACAGAAGATAAACTAATTACTTTGATCTGCATAACGCAAACATTATGTTAACTCTTAAGAAGTTCTACAGAAGATATATTATGGTAAGACCATCGGCCGATTTCTTGTCAGAATCCGAAAGAAACACGGATATCTGATAATTAATAGTTTGACTAGAGACTAAATAATGTTGCTAAGTAGTATTTTCAGAACAATGATATGTTATGGATCAGAAAAGTATGACAATCTTTCGATCCATATCGACAATTATGAAATCTAACTTTCTTGAGATTCCGAAATACAAATGTAACTGGACAAAGTTAATTGATAAAATTAAATTCTATAACAATATCATACTTATCTGGGACCACAAATCAGTGACTAAATGCTCACATATGCATTTGGATATTCGAAATTCAAAGCTAGCTATAGCACTGATCGTGCCGATTGATCCAGTTTGACCGTTCAACAATAATCCCGAAATGTCCCAATGGCAGTACTGTCAGTTCTTATTGCCTACAACTTACGACTTAATTGGAAAATTTTCAAATTTGAATTTATACCATTAAAATAGACCGGGTCCGAAAATTTGATTTATCCAAAATCAAGATTTTGGAAAAAGCATTTACATATGTATGTATTAGTGTTTCGCTGTCTTCAATTTTATCTGTTGAAGGGTATATAGGATTCGGCATAGCCATATATAGTAATATTTTTTTTTTGTTTATATTAACTTACGGCGATTTAGAAAAAAATCCCCGCTTAAACAAGAGAAATCTATCTTTCAAGTGAGACTTATAAACAATTCAATAAAAGAGATACTCAGCTAAAAGGTAGTCAACCGACCAACCTATTTATTTAATAACACAAGATCATTTTGAGTGATTCTTTCCCACAGCTAATCATCAGAACGATCTATGAAAAAGCTCTTATATTTAAGCTTATCAGCTAAAATTAAGAACAACAAAACATACAAGAATATAGTAATACTCGTGCATGTGAGCATTAAAGTGGATCTCAAGCGGAACACTGATTGTTTTAATTCAGTATTCAAAAAGATTTCGCTGCAAACAAGTCATTAAAACAATAAAAAAAAAATACATTAGGAACAATTTAAAATGTTTAAAACGTCTATAATATTGTTAATATTTGGTACTTTAATCACCAAACACAGCTTTTTTACAAATGGTAAGAGTTCAACGATTTTTTTGTTTACAATTTTTCAGTTATCAGTTGTTACAAAAATACCTAAATATTTGTTCCGCATTTTTAAGAGAAATTCCAAATAAATGGATTTCCCAAAAAAAAAGTTTAAGGAACCAAGTCTTTATTTCACTAAATCTTTATTTCTTTTTTTTTCCCCGTACAGCTAATGAATGCGCCTTAAATACTGAATGTGTTCATATACGAGATTGCCCACGGGTTTTAAACAATTTTCATTTAATACGCAATAAACCGTATTGTAGTTTAAATCAAAAAGGCACCCACGTCTGTTGTTTGAAACCACCCGAGAAATATACCCAAGAGAAGGATGAAGACATACGATCTGTAAGGGGTAAGTAAGAATGATTTTTATATACTATATTGTTTGTTAATTATTTTAATTTTAGAATGCAAATCGGTTCAACGTTATCGCAAGTCTTGCGAAAAGACTCTGATTGTTAGCGGCCAAAAGGCTGAGGCTCAAGAGTTTCCCTTCATGGCTTTACTTTTCTATAAACATGAAGACACAGTGAATTATTTATGCGGTGGAACTTTGATTAGTAACAAATATGTGTTGACAGCAGCTCATTGCTTTTTTGTTTATAGGTGAGTGTTTTTGGTCCTAAGACCAATTATGGGCTCTTCTTCTCTTTGTCCTTATATGGTTACTTTTTATTGAACTACACTATGGACAAGAGTATAGTCTAGACTATAGATTAGACTATAGACTAGACTATAGACTAGACTATAGACTAGACTATAGACTAGACTATAGACTAGACTATAGACTAGACTATAGACTAGACTATAGACTAGACTATAGACTAGACTATAAACTAGACTATAGACTAGACTATAGACTAGACTATAGACTAGACTATAGACTAGACTATAGACTAAACTATAGACTATACTATAGATTATACTATAGAAGATACTATAGACTAGATTATAGACTAGACTATAGATTAGACTATAGACTCTACTAGACTATATACTAGACTATAGACTAGACTATGGACTAGACTATAGACTAGACTATAGTCTAGACTATAGTCTAGACTATAGACTACACTTTATACTAGACTATAGAATATACTTTAGACTAGACTATTGGTTAGACTATAGACTAAACTATTGACTAGACTAGACTAGTCTAGACTATACTATAGACTAGACTAGACTAGTCTAGACTATACTATAGACTAGACTATAGACTAAACTATAAATTAAACTATAGACTATAGATTATACTATAGATGATACTATAGACTAGACTATAGACTACACTATAGATTATACTATAGAAGATACTATAGGGTAGACTATAGACTCTACTAGACTATAGACTAGACTTTATATTAGACTATAGACTAGACTTTATACTAGACTATAGACTAGACTATAGACTAGACTATTGTCTAGACTATAGACTAGACTATAATTAAATTAACTTAACTTAACAGCTCTTTATTTCTCTATCAACAGCCCTCCCAATTGGGTACGTCTTGGTGAATTGGATTATTCAACCACCACCGATGATGCCTCACCTATCGATTATGAAATTAAGAATATCATTACTCATCCTCAATACTTTACCACCGACATACAAGAAAATATAATGACATAGCACTGGTGGAACTTGTGAAAGAAGTCCAATTCAATGACTATATAATGCCCGCCTGTCTACCCCTGGTCGATGGTCGGGATTTTCAAGAATATCTAGCCGCTGGTTGGGGCAGACCCAATGATACCACTCTCGAAATGTCACCACATTTACTAAAAGTAAAATTGGATCGTTTCGACGATGACACCTGCATTAGTAAAGTGGAACAGACGGAAGAATTGAAATATGGTGTCAACAAACGAACACAAATGTGTGCGGGTTCGTTTACAGATAAGCGTGATACTTGTATGGGAGACTCGGGTGGTCCCTTGTTTGTCGATCATCCCGATTATAAGTGTTTGTTTTTGGTTTTGGGTATAACTTCATTTTCGCATGGCGGTTGCGGTAATGTGGGCCATCCAGCGGTTTATACAAGAATTCAATTATATTTAGATTGGATTGAGCAAATCGTATGGAAGGAAGCCGCTAAATTGTCTAAATAGTTATTTATTTTAAATAAATAATAAAAATTAATTATTCTCAAATGTAGTTTTATTAAAAAAAAGCAACACGCAATTTTTCTATCATAACTTTAATTAATTTCCATGTTAATTAAACACTTTATAATTTTGTATTTTTTTTAATTTTTTTTTTTTCAACTTACACAATATAAACATATGAAATTGCATTTTATAATACATTTTATCCTTTACTTTATGTTCTTTTGTAAATTTTTTCTTTAATTGTAAACTCATTAATTTCTCAATTTTGTTTTCTTTTTATTTCAAAATAAACCAACGAATATAATCCAAATCAGAGTCACCGATTCCGTAGTAAAACGTATGTTATCTTTTAAGATTTCCAAACCGAAAGACCAACATATGAGCGTAACAGCTTTTTATATCCTTCTGTTGGAAATCCTTTTTGCCGTGTCAATCAAGACGACGAAGAAAAGTTCAAAGAATTTATTGAAGCATTAAAATTTGTCCATTAAAAAGAGAAAAGAAATGACGTGTTGCTATCATTAACACTTGCATAGAATTTTTAATATTTTAAGTTTTTTCTTACTTTTTTTGTTTGTATGTACTTATACAAGTACATAGTATTGCACCCTTTACATTTTTATACCCTCCATCATGGTGTCATTCCGTTTGTAATTTCTACAATATAATTTTCTGATCGTATATTATATACATATATAACGAGTTTTTATAGTCTATTAGCCATGTCCGTCTGTCTATCCATCTGTCTGTCCATATCTATGTTGAAATCGGTTTTCAGAAGACCCCAGATCCCAGACATGCTTTCGAGAAGGTCACAATTTAAAATCAACAAAATCGGTCCACAAATAACGGTGATATATTCAAAATTCCGAAAAAATCCATAAAAATATTACGTTTTTTTCTCATTTTTAATTATTATAATAACAACAAGGCTTAACATGGTGGAAGAGTATTAGATATATTAAAAATGTTTAAAATAGGTCCATTATTTACCCTAGCCCCCTATGCAACCGTACCCTCCGAATATTGGTCTTAAGCTGATAATTATGTTAAAAGTTTTAATATCTCTAAATAAATTGTCACAACGATAATGATCAGGCCTAGTTTGACCTTAAACCGCATACAAAAGCTTTTTCAGAAAATGACTTGAAATTCAATAATTCACTAATAAACCCTTCATAAACTTTACTGTAAACGTAAATCCCTCTACCAATATTTATAAGAATATGCCTATATTTACCCTTGCTCCCGTATAACCCCACTCTAAGAAGATCACTTTTTTGACAACAACTTAAATGCTATATCTATCTATCTATCTATCTATCTATCTATCTATCTATCTATCTATCTATCTATCTATCTCTATCTATCTATCTATCTATCTATCTATCTATCTATCTATCTATCTATCTATCTATCTATCTATCTATCTATCTATCTATCTATCTATCTATCTATCTATCTATCTATCTATCTATCTATCTATCTATCTATTTATCTATCTATCTATCTATCTATCTATCTATCTATCTATCTATCTATCTATCTATCTATCTATCTATCTATCTATCTATCTATCTATCTATCTTTCTATCTATCTATCTATCTATCTATCTATCTATCTATCTATCTATCTATCTATCTATCTATCTATCTATCTATCTATCTATCTATCTATCTATCTATCTATCTATCTATCTATCTATCTATCTATCTATCTATCTATCTATCTATCTATCTATCTATCTATCTATCTATCTATCTATCTATCTATCTATCTATCTATCTATCTATATCTATCTATCTATCTATCTATCTATCTATCTATCTATCTATCTATCTATCTATCTATCTATCTCTCTATCTTTCTATCTATCTATCTATCTATCTATCTATCTATCTATCTATCTATCTATCTATATATCTATATATCTATCTATCTATCTATCTATCTATCTATCTATCTATCTATCTATCTATCTATCTATCTATCTATCTATCTATCTATCTATCTATCTATCTATCTATCTATCTATCTATCTATCTATCTATCTATCTATCTATCTATCTATCTATCTATCTATCTATCTATCTATCTATCTATCTATCTATCTATCTATCTATCTATCTATCTATCTATCTATCTATCTATCTATCTATCTATCTATCTATCTATCTATCTTCTATCTATCTATCTATCTATCTATCTATCTATCTATCTATCTATCTATCTATCTATCTATCTATCTATCTATGTATCTATCTATCTATCTATCTATCTATCTATCTATCTATCTATCTATCTATCTATCTATCTATCTATCTATTTATTTATCTATCTATCTATCTATCTATCTATCTATCTATCTATCTATCTATCTATTTATCTATCTATATATATCTATATATCTATCTATCTATCTTATCTATCTCTATCTATCTATCTATCTATCTATCTATCTATCTATCTATCTATCTATCTATCTATCTATCTATCTATCTATCTATCTATCTATCTATCTATCTATCTATCTATCTATCTATCTATCTATCTATCTATCTATCTATCTTCTGTAGTGCATTCAAAAATTCTACCCAACTTCACCAAGTCATTGTATTAAATATTATTTGTTTTGTCTTCTATAAATTTATATGTAAATATTTTACATAATATTACGAATTGGTCAATTATTTTGTATCTTACTAGTTTAGATGAATGTACATAAATCTGGTTGGTTGGACTTTATGAATGATAACGAAATTTCTACGTTTAACATGAACTTGTATTATAAGAATGTAAATGCATTTATTAAAAATTTAAGTCACATGTTGCTCTTTTATCCTTTTTTCTTACTTTCATAAATGTGTTTACAAAAGGATATTTAATATTGTGTCTGCAACAGGTATTCAAATGAGATTTTATGGAAATTATTAGGTTTACTTTGAAGTTGTTTTTTATGTGATTAATTTTATATTATAAAGTTTAAACTAATTTTAGATAAAATTAACACCTTTTTATTTGGGAAACATATTGAAAATATTTGTTTTAAAATAGCACAAAAGAAAATCTTAGTTAGTTAAATAATAACTTTTTTAAAATTATTGCGGAATCGTAATAGTCTAAGAAAATCGATTTGCCGCGGAAATGAATATACAACATATAGCCCAGAAAAATCAGTCGAAACAAAATTTTAATATAGATTATAGTCCAATTTTATAAAGGATTTAACTCTTAATTTCGGTCACAATTCAATCTTTGATTGGATTACAATTGCTTTATCCCATTTTGGGGTTATATGTATGTATGTATGTATGTATGTATGTATTGGATACATTTCATATTAACTTTCTGTGTGGCTACAACTTCCTGTATAAGGGTATATTATGATTGGACAATTCTCTCTGCACCAACGTTGGATAACCTGGCAACTTATGTGTTTTTAACCTCCGACTACATTTAAGACTAAAAAAAATTTTAAACATTTTATTATGAATTGATTTAATTTCTTAAATTTATTATAATTTTGATAATTTCATTATACTTGATATAAGCAATTTTTTTTTTTATTTTATACTTTAAAAAATTATTTTAAATGTAACGTCAACCTTTTTAAATTACATGAAGGCAAATCAACCGCTGTATTCACACAGCTGACATTTTGCCACGCATATGGTGTCATCAATTCACTGTGAATATTGTGAAATTAAACAGCTGATCAATTCAACAAAATTTCATACGGCTTTTTGAGCTTTTTATGGGAAATATAGCAGAAAAACGAAATAAATTCATTAAAATAAATATATTTCATAAAAGTGCAAGTGTTTTAACATCAAGCCACTAAAATGGCTGAACGTTTTAAGGACTTACCACGTTTCAGTGGATCTTTAAGAGCCAATACCGATTTGGAGGCCAAATTACCAGTGATAAATGACAAAGAAGAATTGGATGAATTGAGACAGGAGAGAAATACTTTTCTCAAAATGTAAGCTAATCCAAGGGGAATAACCTAAGTTACTTGAATAATTTTTGTAATATTTTAGAAAAACAGAAGAACAACAGACCATCCATGAAGTGCTGCAGCATATGCCGGCCGATAGAAGAGACCAGATAAAAATACATTTTCAGAAATTACGAAATCTGGTACAAGAATGCATGGGTTACGATGAACAGCCACAGGTGGTTGAACATGCCGCCCTCTTTCTTTTCTGGCTGATGTTGGAACAAAAAGTTATAATGGTGGCCACCACCATGCGTGTACGTTCCATATTTGGCACTATATTTGGTAATAAATTAGCTATAATCCATCAGACAGTATGGTCCATAAGAGAATTAATGGAAGACTATGAAGTGGAGGATTTAAAAGAATGGAACAAAGGAATGGGCAAGAAATCGAAAAATCAAAAACTTTGGGGAGATCATATAAAAGTTAAATTTAAGCAAGTTTCGGAGGAAGAAATAGGTAATCTTTTAGATTTGGCTCCTACTACCATTAGTAAAAATGCCACTTCTTTGGGTTTTTCCATGCAATGGAACCAAGAAGCTGCCACCTCTAGCAATAAAACGAAATATCACAAAGTGGTGGATACATTTATAGAAATGTCACAAAAAGATGAACATGCCCATTTGATAAACAGCCTAACAGAATTGTTGAATTCCAAAAAGTCCAATAACGAATTACAAAATGATCTTATAGAGTTATTGGGTTTTGAACATTTCGATTTAGTGCAGGAAGTTTTAAATGAACGCACAAAAATTGGCAACCAATTGCAAGAATTAGAACAAAAAGAAAAACGCTCTAAACGCAGCAAACAATTGCAACAGAAACAAATGAAAAATGGCGCAGCAGGCGCAACAGAACACAGACCAACTGTGGCGCATCAAGTGCTGGTGCAATCAGCCCTGGAGAAGGAGCTAACTAAACAACAGCGTAAAGAGGAAAAAAAATGCAGCGTTTAATGCAGTCGATAGGACGCAATGAAAAAGACGAAGATGAGGTGGCCCAAGTAATAAATCCCATGCAATTGCGCTTGCAACAACAGCGTAAGCTACTCGAACATGCCCAACATCAGCCTATTCTAAAATGCAACCAACAATTAAAAGAGTTCCGTTCTACACTTGCTGCTCCGCAACGTTATCCTTATGTTTTCGATAGTCAATTGGAAGCTAAACAACATGCTGGTTTTATAGGCGGTAATCGTATATCTCTGCCGGAAACAGCAGAACGTATAGATTGCAAACAATATGAGGAGGTGAAAATTCCTGCCACTGAACCACCACCTTTATCGGTGGGTAATAATCGCATTAACATAGCCGATTTAGATGATATAGGCAAAATAGCTTTTGCAAATTGTAAACAACTTAATCGTATACAATCTGTGGTCTATCCGGTGGCCTATCATAGCAATGAAAATGTTGGTGTGTGCACCTACCGGTGCGGGTAAAACTAATGTGGCCATGTTGACTATTGTACATACCATACGTTCACATTTAGAGAATGGCCTGATAAATCGTGATCAATTTAAAATTGTCTATATTGCTCCCATGAAAGCCTTAGCCTCTGAAATGGTGGATAACTTTTCGAAACGTTTGAAGGAGTTAAATATTGTGGTTAAAGAACTGACTGGTGATATGCAGTTGTCAAAGGCGGAAATGACACAGACACAGATATTGGTAACTACTCCAGAGAAATGGGATGTGGTGACAAGAAAGGGTGGGTATAATAAAAGAAAACGTAATTAATTACGAATAATTTCCAAAACTTTTTTCAGGTGCTGGTGATGTGGCCTTAATAAGTTTAGTGAAACTACTCATTATCGATGAAGTACATTTATTGCATGGTGAACGTGGTCCCGTTGTAGAGGCACTAGTAGCTCGTACTCTGCGTCTGGTAGAATCTTCTCAAAGTATGATTCGTATTGTTGGTCTCTCTGCTACACTGCCCAATTACATAGATGTTTCGAATTTCCTAAGAGTCAATCCTATGAAAGGTCTTTTCTACTTTGATGCCCGCTTTAGACCAGTACCACTTGACACGGTTTTTATAGGAGTAAAATCTGTAAAACCTTTACAACAATTAGCCGATATGGATCAAGTTTGTTATCAGAAATGTGTAGAGCAAGTACAGTTGGGTCATCAGGTCATGGTGTTTGTACATGCTCGTAATGCTACCGTACGTACGGCCAGTACTTTAAGAGAATTGGCTCAACAGAACAATACCAGTGCTCTCTTTTTACCCGATACCAATAATAGTAATTATGGTTTGGCCTTAAGGGCCATACAAAAATCGAGAAACAAACAATTGGTGGAATTGTTTTCGGCTGGTTTTGCTATGCATCATGCGGGTATGTTGAGAACCGATAGGCAGCTGGTGGAGAAATACTTTTCCGAGGGTCATGTTAAAGTTTTAGTTTTACCGCCACCTTGGCTTGGGGTGTCAATTTGCCTGCTCATGCTGTTATCATAAAGGGTAAGAGCAACATTAATTTATATTTAAGTTTTCTTTTAAAAATATTATTCTTTTGTTTTTCAAGGTACTGATATTTATGATTCCAAACATGGTTCATTTGTTGATTTGGGCATATTGGATGTTTTACAAATTTTCGGTCGTGCTGGTCGTCCTCAATTCGACAAAAGTGGGGTGGGTACTATTATAACCACCTACGATAAACTGAATCACTATCTCTCCCTACTCACCAATCAATTTCCTATTGAATCTAATTTTGTACAATTTTTGGCGGATAATCTTAATGCTGAAATTGCTTTGGGCACCATTTCCAATGTTGAAGAGGCAGTCGAATGGCTTAGTTATACTTATCTATTTGTACGCATGCGCATAAATCCTCATGTTTATGGCATAGAATATGCCGAGGTATTGCAAGATCCTCAATTGGAGGCGAAAAGACAAGCTTTAATAGTGGGTGCTGCCATGAGTCTGGACAAGGCTCGTATGATACGTTTCAATCAGAGAACTTTGGATTTCAATGTTACCGATTTGGGTAGAACTGCTTCTCATTTCTATATAAAATACGATACTGTGGAAATATTCAATGATTTACTTAAGCCTTTTATGAATGAATCGGAAATCTTTGCCATGATTTCACAGGCACAAGAATTCCAACAGCTAAAAGTACGGGATGATGAACTGGAGGAATTGGATGAATTGCGTCACAATTATTGTAAAGTTAAAGCTTTTGGCGGAGCTGAGAATGTTTGCGGTAAAGTTAATATTTTAATGCAAACTTTCCTCTCCCATGGCTATGTCAAATCCTTCTCTCTGGTCTCCGACATGTCTTATATTGTACAAAATATAGCCCGTATAGCCAGAGCCTTATTTTCCATAGTACTACGCAATAATAATGCTATACTATCGGGTCGTATGTTGCAAATTTGTAAAATGTTTGAACGTCAACAGTGGGACTTTGAAACTCCTATGCGACAATTTGGTAATATTAATGCTGAAACTATAGATAAACTTGAAAGTAGAGGCATTAGTTTATATACACTAAGAGAAATGGAACAAAATGAATTAAAAGAAATTTTACGAAATGCTCGTTACGCGCTGAGAATGTATTGAGAGCAGCTAAAGAATTGCCCATGTTGGAAATTGAGGCCACTTTACAACCCATTACACGTACAGTGTTGAGAATTAAAATAGATATATGGCCAAATTTCAATTGGAATGATCGTGTGCATGGTAAAGTGAGTGAAAGTTTTTGGCTGTGGATTGAGGATCCCGAAACTAATTTTATTTATCATTCAGAATTGTTTCAGGTAAGTGGAAATCTTTAAACCATTTAAAATATATTTTCTAAAAAGAGTTCTTTACGTCACAGGCTACACGCAAATTTGTGTTTAGTGGTAAACCGCAACAACTTGTGATGACCATACCGCTTAAGGAACCTTTACCACCCCAATACTATATACGTGTAGCTAGTGATATATGGCTGGGTAGCAATAACTGGATACCACTTACCTTTAAACATCTTGTATTGCCCGAACATCATCCACCACTAACGGAACTATTACCTTTACATCCTATACCCGTTACTTGTCTAAAAAATCCTCTCTACGAATCACTATACCCTTTCTCTCATTTCAATCCCATACAACACAAATCTTCCATTGTCTCTATCATACCGACAACAATGTTCTGCTGGGTGCTCCAACCGGTTCGGGTAAAACTATTGTGGCGGAAATTGCCATATTTAGAGCATTCAATAAAACCCCTAAAGCCAAAGTGGTATATATA